CGATCATCTCAGCATGCTGTCGCCTTTATTCTGCGACAGACAAATAAATGGCAGGACCCTTCGGCCGATTGATGGACTTCTTACAGGGCACTTTCCCTTTTCAGATTGAAACCACTTGAATCATGCTACCTCCAGACGAAGAATATACCACACGGGAAGGGTGAACGAATCATATCGGCTATGATGGTGACTTCCGAAAGCAGACGAAGACTACTCAGTCTCAATAATGTGACTCACAACTGTCGACTTTTTAAGCGACTCACTAAACAATGCAGCCTGGGAAATAATTAATGGGCCTGGCAGGAGCAGACAGGCCAATTAGCGGCAGCCTCATTCATGTTGTAGTACCCTTCAGCATGTGAGCTGTCCTCTATTTTCATCTGGTCTCTCCCATCGGTCTCTCGGGTAAGATACGATACAGCAAATTACCCTGGCATCATGTGACCCAGCGGAGTGCCAATGTTGCTTTCTTCCGGAAAATCCCGTGGTTTCCTGACCAGTCTTGTCCGCTTTGGGTTCACCGGAAGTGATGTGGTTGATGGAGCGGAAGACTGCAACTGTTCGGGAATTTGCGGAAAGCCCGTTGTAACGCCTGAAATCGGACTCTTACCAGGCTCCGAGGCACTGTGCGGAACATACGCCAAAGTTCAAAGACCGCTAGAGAGGCAGAGGGCAGTATTGACACGTTGTGGGCTGCATGGATGGTCAGATCTCATCACCGGCAGTTTCGAACTGAAACGGAACCATTTCGAATCTCGCCGCTAGTATTATTTCCAGTTCAGAGCTCGTGGGTTTTGCACCTGTGATCATTTTCAGCGCGCTCCCAAGCGAAACCCCTTTGCTCATCTTTTTGAAAGATTCGCGTGATGGAGGAAAATGGGCTTCGTGGAATGATCTCTTCCTCAAAGGCAGCACAATTGAGCTAGGAATGCCTGCCACCATGATCCGATGGTTCTTCTTTGCTGAAGCATTGCAATTGATTGTCTGCAGGCACATTGCAGTGAGACAATGCAATCTCGGTATCGGGCTATGTCCGCACGTTTCCTCAATTATGGGCTGAGCTAACTTGCTCGAGAGTTCCAGAGATTGCCGATAGTTCGTTTAAGAGCTACTACTGGCCTGATCTCATAGGGACCTGTGTTACTTCTTTCTTACGATACTGCAATCATGAGTCGACGGTTGACGAGGCTCCAATGCAGTGTGCATACCTGAAAGGCTGCTAGCATATATATCTAGATTCGATAGTAGTTAACTCGAGCACATTAATGATATTGATGCCAAAATTTTCATCTTGACACAAGACCCTTTGACTCCGTATATGATATCATCGTATATGCTATGAAGCTTGTGAAGTTTTGCTACTTCTAATATATGCTGGGCGTCATAACCGGGATTGATGGACGAAACCGCGGCTGATTGGATTCAAAGATTCAGCTTCTTCATTCTCTCTTCTCATCTTCGACTCTCCATGGCTGTTGTACTCAAGGACTCGATAGCTGGATTGTTTTGGCTTTGGAGATACTAAGAAAAAGGTTCCCCGCGCGATAGTGGAGCTTCATTGTTTTCTGTTTTTCGTTTTCTTCTCCGCACTTCCTCTTCTTCATTTGAACAAGTCATAAGTACACTCGATATACAAGACCAATTGACCGCGGTTGGCGTGTAATCGACTGTTGATTTGAAAGAATCATTTGCCTAGGATCATTTATATTCTTGCAGAAAACAAGAGGTTTTGTATGTGCTGGACCTGACCAGCCCTGGGCACCGAGGTCTTCCACGACAGAAGCTTCACTCGGCAGGAAAAAAGAATATCACGAATAATGCTGTCTCTGCCTCTGATTACGCCGCGCGACGTATGCTAATCTCCAATTACACTGGGAGCCCGTCATACAAAAAGCTAACATCCATTCAAACAGTCGCATGAACTCTGGTTCGGCTCCTCTCAATTCCACCGCACCTCATATCAACACCTTCAGTCGCCCGGGGACGCGCCACCGCACGGCCACCCACGTCGCAATGGACACCCTGCCCCGAATGGACGAGCAGTAGTTACCCCTGGCAACAGCCTATCGTCATTGCAGCTCGAGGAGCGCGCTCTCCGCGCCCGCAAAAACAACATCGCTTCGTTCGGACACTCGTGGATCAAGCCGGCGGGATGCTCCAAGACCATGCTGGGTATGAAGGAGGAGGAGGCCGAGCGGGAGGAGGCTCTGGCGGCCGCGGCGGCTGAGATGGCTGCTGCGGCTGCGGCTGCGGCTGATCCCGGCTTGGACGAGTTTGGGAATCCGATGCATGACCAGGCGGATGATACGGGCATGGAGAGGGATTTGGATGACGATATTCCCGATGCGGATGCGGACGGGCTTGTGGAGGAAGGGGAGGAAGGTCTGGAAGAAGACGAGGACGTGGATGAGGATGTATACATGGAGCGGGATCTAGATGATGATATTCCTGAAGCGTTCGCCGATGACGACGACGACGACGATGATGCAGAAGTTGAGCAGGATGTGGAGGATGCTGGTGACTTTGACAACCAAGCCGATCTGGACGACGAGATCCCTAGCGCAGCAGATGATTACGAGGGCGAAGACATGAGCGACGTAGTCGAAGAAGACGGCGAAGATGCATTCGGGATGGAGCGTGATCTGGACGACGAGGTTCCTGAGGCAGCGGAAAATGGATCGGAACAGGAAGAAGAATGGCAGCATACCGACACTGATGCCGAGTTCGACGAAGAAGATGACCAGAGCTTCTCGCATGACCAATTTGTTGCACAGGGTCTCCGAGCCAGCATATCGAGCAACCGTGGCCTGCCACCGCCGTCCGCCCATCGCAGCCGGGAAACGCCAGCCCAGACACGATTTCTACAACGCTGGAGCGGCGGCGGCGACGCGTTCGATTCTAGTGGCATGATGTTCGACGACGGTGATCTCCGTGCCTCGTTGGCAAGCCAGGCAAGCCGCCAGAGTGGCTTTGGACGGTTTCCAAGGCGGCGTAGTGGAAGAGATAGTCTTGAATGAGTCTGATCTTCCGGATAACTGACAGCTACGGCTGCCAGGTACTAAGTATGCATATTCACTGTTTATATTATCGGGGATTCCGGCGTTGGGCTTAGAGGTCTCGGTTCATCAACGGGACGGAGTTGGTGCAGGGTATTCATTGGACGCGCAACTTGATTCTGCATGATTTAGAAGCGAACGGAAGACATAACATCCATAAGATAAAACTTCCCGTCTATTTCTGCTCCTACCCAATGAGATTGTATATAGATACATGTCATGCGAGCAAGATATTACAGTATTGAATGGATAGCATGAGCCACCCTTATGCACTTCAAGACCATATCAACTCATGCGCCGAATGGTGGCATGACATTGCCGAGAAGAATGAGTAGCAGACTGCCGCAAAACAACAGTGTTCAGTATGGCTTTGGTACAGTGTGCAACATACAACGCCGGAGAACGCCACACAATGAACTATGCAGCAGTGAAGTAGAAGACATTACAAGGAGTAAGTTATGTATGCCCACGGGTGAGTTATTATGTAGACGTAGGCCAAGGGGTACATGGTGTAGTGCACTGCGCTGTGGAGGCGAGCGAAGTAGGAATGTCGCCAGACTAAGGTATCAGGAAGTATAGATCGTAGGCAGTCCGTCCGATATAGGGCCTAAGTCAGCCACACGTATGTGAAGATCAGGAAAACAGCCAGGAAGAAACCCAGCCATGCACGCCAACCGACACCCGTACGCTCAGCCATTCGGAGCATGCGAGTCATGTTACCACGGAGGCGCACGCGAGTGTTGTCGAATGCATCATTTAGCTCTGAGATGGTAGATGTATCACGAATTTCATCGCCAATGGCGAGTGTAAGCTGGCCGGAGTGTCAGTATCACGTTCGTGATGTCGCTCTAAATAAACAGCAAGAACGACGGACTCACATCCTTCAACATCTTGACTTTCGCACTGATACCCTCGACCTGAGCGTCATTTTGCGATTCGAGATGGTCGAGGACTGCGTCGGAATATTGGCCCCTTCACCCATGAGCATCAAACCGGTATTGAGAGGTGTGTTTGCGGGCAAGACTCACTTCGCATTGGGGGTGGCCTTTCGGAAACCACCTGTGGAGCCCCCGTTCATGTACCCATCGGTATTCGAGGCTGAGTAGCCTCCATAACTATATCCGCCCACGCTGGCCGGTGAGCGGCTGGCGGGTCGAGAACCACCTCCGTAGGAATCGAAGAGAGAAGAGGAAGCGCGTGGATCGCGCTGATGAAGCGAAGAACGTGGGAATCTGTAAGAACCCAAATTAGTTCCGAGATATCCAGGAACGCCATAGTTAGTGTTGGTCGGTCATACCGTGAAGACATAACAGATGGTCGTAAACTGGGAGATGATGCAATTCAGGAGACGCGGAGAACACCGATTGACGAATATTCTCACCGCCAGCTAATTTATGCGCATGATGACCAGTGTCCAAATATGGAGAGCTTGCAGGATTAGCTTGTATATCTCAGCCAGATTCCGAACTGCATCGTCTGGACGAAGCTTTGCGATCTGCTTGCGGCAATCGAAACAACAACACGGCGGAGTTGCCACTTGGGTGTCTGTGGCTCGCTCAACCGCCGCACGTGAGTGACGATGCACGAAATGTTGAATGATTTCTAGGGGCCTCCAAATGATTTGACCGACAAATAAGAGATCTGATTTCAGAGGTTTAGAATTGTACAGCTGCTGCAGTATTCATGGCAGGATAGGATGGGAAGAGGGCTGTAGAAATTAGCACCCTGATCACATACTAGGTTGGGGTTCTCTTGTCGTCGGGGTGAAAACGTTTACAAGCTTAGTATCAATAGATTCGTTTCGTCACAGTATGTGCGCATACTCGAAGAAGAAATGATTTAACTGAAATAGAAACAGAAAGCCCCCAATGAACCTGCGCCTGCCTTCCCACTCACAATTCCCACTCCCAGGATATTTTGATGGCTCCATAAGACGTCGTTTAATCAATCGCGCATGTCCTCGTCGTTAGGTTGGAATTCCTCATCGTCATCGTCCTCGTCGTCCATCTCATCCTCGGCCTTCAGCTTCTCGGCCGCCTCCTGGAAGTCGATGGTCTTGCCTCGTGTCCGACGACCTCCAGAAATGATATTTTCTTCAGAGATGGGTTCAAGATTGTCGTGGTCATCATCGTCATCATCTGTAGAAAGGTTAGGTTAGCATGACTAGCCATCTGAAATAGTTCCCCCGATGTCTTCCAGAAATGGAAAGAAGAGAGAAAAAGGAAGTATTGGTTTAGAACGCCACATACCGTCCGCCATCTATGAGTAGATGAGTTAGCTTGAGCGTCTGAGTAGTACATCACATGGGGCGATGCAAACTCACCATTTCCTCAGCTTCGCTTTCATCACTGTCCTCTTCCTCGTCCATGCTCATTTCCAGGGTAGGCTCATCAGCGGCCTTACCCTTTCCCTTGCCCTTGCCCTTATCCGCAGCGGCCGCATCGGGAGCATTGGCAGCAGGATCATTGCTGAGAGTAGCCAGGTGGTTGTCGCCCATTGTGGTTTGTTTCGAAGTGCCTCGGAATACAGATATTAGGCAAGGAGTAGGTGACAAAAATGAGTAAGTTCCAAACAGCAAGAAGGAATTGCAAGGAGTCTTCCAAAGGTGAGCTTGAGAGGGAAGTGCAGAATGCCTTAAGTACTGTGCGGAGTGCAAGGATGGAGATTATACTCGTAGAGGAATGATAACAACAAGAGCTGCAGACAGGAAACCAAAAACACATCAGCCGCAAGGGAGATGCACCTAAGACCCGTCCCTCGACTTCCCGGGCGCTGATTGGCTGATCACAGGATTGATCAGCACAGCTCTTTCTTGTAAAGCGCTATACCTTTTCAGGATTGATTATTTAAGGCCTCAGGCTCATGGAATTCATACCCCTGCTCAACAAGGGCAGCATGAACGCAGATGGAGTATTCCGTACTTGAGACTACTATCCTAAGTAGTTCTGGGTTAACTAGCTAATGATCCGTGAATCGTCTCCTTGATGCTGTCTGCTCTGCAGACCAAACAAGATAGCAAATATCAGGAGGGTGTCTTAATGCTTCTAAATGCTTCAATGCAAGACGAGCCCATCATCCCTCTAGTGCTGGCCGTATTGTACAAACTTCAGCTCAAGAAAGTTCTGTAGCCAATTGATAGGTAACGGTCACAGTCGGAGACAGTCATAAAAGGAGTCGGACTTCAATTTCGAACAAGATCTCCTTGGCTGGACAACCCCGGACTAGGCTCTCAGTTTAAATAGTGACGGTCTTTGGGAAGGTTTCGATCCCTGTGTTCTCCATAGGGGTATATATAATCAAGGCTTGTATCTATGGAGAGGAGTGGCTGCAAGAAGAGCAGACTGTGAGATCTCCTTCAGTTACCATGGCAACCGAAGATCGGTCTTGAAGGTAATGAATATCACATCAGTATACCTCTGAGAGGTACTCCGTGCTCCATTATCAGAATATCCGCCAGGCAGGGCCCAAGCGCTTGAGGGAAAATTTCTCCAGTATGGGGATGAGAGAGTTGAGGGCTATGTAGGTCGTTCAGGGAAGCCAACCTGTCAATGGCAAACATAGAATCTTTAGAGACTGAAACCTTGAAGCTGTCATGAACTACGGAGATAGTGGGAGGGTGATATACTTCTATCTCCAGGTACTGCTTCCAGAGCTAGCTAGTCCTCTCCAGGTGGCGTGTCTTACTCTGGTGGCACAATAAGGTACCTAGCTATGATGCAGTCACGCACTGGTGAAGGTCAGACTGGTAGATGAAAGAAACGGGCAGAAGTCTCCATACCCCCACCAAAGACACTCGCGGAAACCGAGAGTCTCTGCCACGGAACTGCGCACTATTAGGCTTTCCGCTAAGAGTCATCATGACGAGGCAATCTGTCTCTTGAGTGAATTGATTTGAATAGTGATTATAATGCTGAATATCATCAAAACCGTTCTGTAGATAGATAGAAGGTAGTGAAAGTAATAGCCAGACAAGAGAAAAGAAAAAATCGGAAGATTGTTACGTCATCCGGCGACCCCGCCATCTGCAGCCTAAAAAAGGAAAAAAATACTCACGGAATCAATCATCCACCAGATGCTTGGAGACCAGATTTGCAAGACATAGAGCCCAATGCGTCGAGAAACCGCTGGTAAACTAATGGAAAGGCCCAGAACATGACCTGATGGTTCTTGAATTGACACCAATCATCGCGACACCTGGAGAATTGGCCCGATCCAGCTAATTTCCCTGATAGAAGCCCATCGAACACGATGGATGGTCATCGAAGCTCCCTCCTGCTAGAAGCTTCGCTGGAGCTCAACCTCACCGCCCTCCACTATATCAATCTCTTTCGCACAATTCCCAGACACTCCCAGACTCAATTTTCTCTCACACACAATCTTCTCACTAGAATTACTGTCCATCCTGTTGTTGTCTCTCTCCTTCCTCCCTTAGAGACTGTACAGTAACCACCTTCTCCTAACTCTACCTTCACGCTCCACCTATATCTTCTTTCTATCTTAACGAACCCCTCCTCACTTCTTCACAATGGCTCCCGCTGTCGGTATTGATTTGGGTACCACCTACTCCTGTGTGGGTGTCTTCAGAGATGACCGCATTGAAATCATTGCCAACGACCAGGGTAACCGTACTACACCCTCGTTCGTGGCTTTCACCGACACCGAGCGTCTCATCGGTGATGCCGCCAAGAACCAGGTCGCCATGAACCCTCACAACACCGTCTTCGATGCTAAGCGTCTGATCGGTCGTCGGTTCCAAGATGCTGAGGTTCAGTCTGATATGAAGCACTGGCCCTTCAAGGTCGTCGAGAAGGGCGGCAAGCCCATCATTGAGGTCGAGTTCAAGGGCGAGACCAAGCAGTTCACTCCTGAAGAGATCTCCTCCATGGTCCTGACCAAGATGCGTGAGACCGCTGAGGCCTACCTCGGTGGCACTGTCAACAACGCTGTCATCACTGTCCCCGCATACTTCAACGACTCCCAGCGTCAGGCCACCAAGGATGCTGGTCTCATCGCCGGCCTGAACGTCCTCCGTATCATCAACGAGCCTACTGCTGCTGCCATCGCCTATGGTCTTGACAAGAAGGCTGAGGGCGAGCGTAACGTCCTGATCTTCGATCTTGGTGGTGGTACTTTCGATGTTTCCCTCCTGACCATTGAGGAGGGTATCTTCGAGGTCAAGGCTACCGCTGGTGACACTCACCTGGGTGGTGAGGACTTCGACAACCGTCTTGTTAACCACTTTGTAAATGAATTCAAACGGAAACATAGAAAGTTCGAATCCCCATTTTCCCTATGATTTCTTTAAAAACTTTTGGCTAACTTTTCATAAACAGGGATCTCACCACCAATGCAAGAGCTCTTCGTAGGCTCCGTACGGCCTGCGAGCGTGCCAAGCGTACCCTCTCTTCTGCTGCCCAGACCTCCATTGAGATCGACTCTCTCTTCGAGGGTATCGACTTCTACACTTCCATCACCCGTGCCCGTTTCGAGGAGCTCTGCCAGGACCTCTTCCGCTCCACCATGGAGCCTGTTGAGCGTGTCCTGCGTGACGCCAAGATCGACAAGTCCTCTGTCCACGAGATCGTCCTCGTTGGTGGTTCCACCCGTATCCCCAAGATCCAGCGTCTCGTCGCCGACTTCTTCAACAAGGAGGCCAACAAGTCCATCAACCCCGACGAGGCCGTCGCCTACGGTGCTGCCGTCCAGGCTGCTATCCTGTCTGGTGACACCTCTTCCAAGTCCACCAATGAGATTCTGCTGCTCGACGTTGCTCCCCTCTCTCTCGGTATCGAGACCGCTGGTGGTGTCATGACTCCTCTGATCAAGCGCAACACTACCATCCCCACCAAGAAGTCCGAGACCTTCTCCACCTACTCCGACAACCAGCCCGGTGTGCTTATCCAGGTCTACGAGGGTGAGCGTGCTCGTACCAAGGACAACAACCTCCTTGGTAAGTTCGAGCTCACCGGCATTCCCCCTGCGCCTCGTGGTGTTCCCCAGATTGAGGTCACCTTTGATGTCGATGCCAACGGTATCATGAACGTCTCTGCCGTCGAGAAGGGTACCGGCAAGACCAACAAGATCACCATCACCAACGACAAGGGCCGTCTTTCCAAGGAGGAAATTGAGCGCATGCTGGCTGATGCCGAGAAGTACAAGGAGGAGGATGAGGCCGAGGCTGCCCGTATCCAGGCCAAGAACGGTCTCGAGTCCTACGCCTACTCCCTCAAGAACACCATCAGCGAGGGCAAGCTCAACATCAGCGATGCCGATAAGGAGAAGGTCTCCAGCAAGGTCGAGGAGATCATCAGCTGGCTTGACAACAACCAGACCGCCACCAAGGATGAGTACGAGTCCCAGCAGAAGGAGCTTGAGAGGTATGTTTCATCTATTTCCCTCTAATCTTCATCTCAACCGTATGCTAACGTTTGCTCCAGTGTTGCCAACCCCATCATCTCCGCTGCTTACGGTGGTGCCGCTGGTGCCGCCCCTGGCGGTGCCGCCCCCGGTGGTGCTACCCGCACTGCTGACGAGGTCGAGGAGCGCCCCGAGGAGCTTGACTAAACGTCTAGCTGAGCGATGTTTCTTTCCTTTCTTCTCTTTTGCCTTGTGATATCTGGACAGGCAATAATGGGTTTTGCTTTTCCTTTCATGTCTTGTTTTACGAATTTACGGGATCCTTTTCTTTTGCGATGACTGCATAGATTCTAGTTTGTTTCCATGCATGATTGTCTATTATGCTTCGGTGGGAAAAGTCCTAACTAATGAGCAATGGAATCTTATCAAAACTACTTCTCCTAATATCTCGTAGGTGCACCGGTCGTTAACACAGTGCTACGCGTAAGTCCTCTGCATAAATCTTGCGAAAAATATCAGTTGTCACCGGACATGGAGCCAGGGAGCTCGAGTCCCATCATTCGGGTATCGTAGCGTAGTGTAGTGTACAGGTATCATGCTCAAACTTATATCAAATCATCTGCTCCCCACATGCGTAAGAAAGAGGGAAAAGACACCGACATTATAAACCCTCAAAATCACCCGCCCACCATCTCCGGACTCGATCTGCCCCCGTCTTTGCGATAGCCTCAAACCCAATCTCCCCCGCCCGCTCAGGATGTTTCTCTCGTTCCTCGCGACGGATCCGAATCAGCGCCGCGGAGGTACCAATCGTAAAGGCGAAGACGGGGTCTGCAAATCTGTGATCACGGCTGTTAGTATCGATGTCAATGTCAATGTTGGCGTCCGAGCCCGTGTCTTCTTTCTTCAAGGGTTCCGCGGGGTTCCAGGACGTCGTCCGTTGTATTTGGACAGCGTGCACGTACTTGGAGATCAGGTAGATCGGCATAGTGATGGACTTGCTTTGTTGTTGGTATAGCACTCGCTGTTGGTGGACCTGGTCTTTGAACGTCAAGGTATCAGCCTTGAAACACCGTATCCCATCCGGTGACGCTGTAGCTGTCTATGGTTGGAGCTTGATTTATCCGTTCATTGCGGAGGTAGAAAATATAGGTCACGTGGCATGAGACCTACATCCATTTTCTTCTACGGGTACATCCAAATTGCTACACTCTCTAAGCAAATCCTTGGGTAATGCAGTTACTTACTAGGATTTATCAGAGTCTCTCGTTGGTACACCCTACAAGAGGCTAATAATAATAATAATTCTCATGCTTAGAGGTGACATATATGTTCACAACCCTCGACATATAACCACTTTACAGAAGAGGTCCAGCTTGGAAAGACAGTGCTTGCATTATCTCACGCTTCCTCCTAGATATGTGAATGAGACTATTATCTTGGACAAGTTGCTTATGTGAATCAAACATACTGATTATCCAATGATTTAAATATCTATCACAAAATCAAAGTACGACTACCCTCTCCAGATGTCTGTGATACTCAAAGACTTGAAGATTAAGTGGAGTTTTTCTTTTGATTACCCAATAACCCCTAGCAAATCTATCAAAACAGAATGAATGCTTATCATCACACCGGAAAAGCCCTTGAAGAAAGACGAACAAAAAATTACAGGCTCAGAATAATCCAATCATCTGTACATTTTAGACGACCTGACCGAATGCAGGGATCAAGGTCTGGGCCAGCCAGAAGCTGAAAACGAGCTTTGGCCCAGTCATCAGTAGCTTAGGAGTCAGGCCCTTGAAAAAGCTGGTGAATCCCTCGTTCTTCATCATGTTGGACACAATTCGGAAGCCAGACTCGGGATTCTCAAAGTTGCGGTTCTGGATACGAGTCTTGATGACGTCCAAAGGAGCAGACACGACCAGAGACGCACTAGCACCACAGATGGACGCCACAAAGTTCTGACCCCACGTGGCCTTGTTGTAGTCCTTCAAGCTATAAATGTACTCCTTTGCGAAAGCGGAACCACCGAAGAGCTGTATGCTGCGGTCAGTCTTCTATCCATGCATAATTGATCTAGCCCAGTTGTGAGGGACATACCGCGAAAGATCCGGGGGCGTTACGAGCTGCAGTCCAGCCAGCGCCACGGTAGAGTCCCATACCCTCGTCGGAGATGATCTTGAAGAGGCCACGTCCACGGAAGGCCTCGGGATTCGTCTGACGTTTAATCTTCAGAACATCAAGGGGTAGAAGGACGATTTCTCCGATACCGATCAAACTATTGTAGGTCAGCGAACGCTGTACATATAGTCCCCAAGTTCCGATAGATAGACAGACCTTCCAGCAGTAGCGTGCATGATGGCCTTGCCAGTCCCCTTTCCGAAAGCACGGTCGAAGTCGGAGCCATGGTGCTTGGCGAGATAGTCCCGAACAAAAGGCTGACCACCATACTTGTAAATTCTTTGCAGAACCTTCGAGTACTGTCAGCTCATTGACTCTCGGACCCCGCAAGGTTGTGTCTGTACTCACCTTGTATCCAGCAGCGTAGCCCAGCCCGGGGAAGAGGGAGGTGAACTTGCGTCCGATAGGAGCAGTCGCGTACTCCTTGAAGACGACCTGGCTAAAGACTTCGGTGGATGCGATCTGGTAATGGTATCCGTCAGCCACTCCGCACAAACCCGCCCGCAGTCGCAGTAAGCCGGTCACTCACCCGAGTCTGATTGCTCATCAATCGCTTCGCTATGGTATCAACCTGAGTTTCGAATTAGTTCAGATATGCAATGATCGAGTGGCGTCTTGCTAGAGGGAGATCGTACGGGATGGAAAACCATCAATTCGGCAATACCGGCGGTTCCTGTGATTGGGAAGTTAGTCATAGATCATGGGTTTCCAGTTCGAGCGCGAACATACCTGAGCCCAGCAGACGAGCAGTCGCCGATTCTCTCTTGACATCCTTAGAGGCAGAACCAGCACCGGCTTGAACGATGGCAGGAGACATTTTGTTTTTAGTTGCTGAGAAAGTTCCGAAAGATTTGAGCAAAAAAAAAAGCGGAAACAAAACAGAATGTCCGCGAAAGGAATGAAAACAAGATTAAACTGATTACTGGGCAATCAGGCAGCAGAACCAATTCTAAAAGAAGTATAAGAACGAAACACAGAACTCCGGACGAGGAGAGAAGATAGAGAGATGAAGCAAATCAGTCCATCACTTGCGCTCTTCTTCTTCTCCGAGCGGAAACAGATCTCTGGCGCTAATCCCAAATGGGACAGTGCATCCGGGGCGAGATCGGACTGGCAGATTGGACTAGTCCATACGGGATACAGTGTATCTGCTATTTAGCACTGGCTTCTTAATTGATGAGATATATCTGCAGCTGGGTTGAATCGCGGAGAGCTAGGGATTATCTTCCTGTCTCGCAGGACATAAAGTCACAGGGACAGCCCCGGCCCTGGCACAGTAGCAGTCCCCATTCCAGAGAATCAAGGCAGACATCATGGAACCGCTTCGGTCATAACGGCCTAAAACGGCCTAAAATAACTACGACATGAGATCATACAGAGCTGGTTGAACTGATGTTGACAGACTAATACGATCAAGGCCGAGGAAGGTCTCGGGTGAAGGGAAAACTACTCGGAACTTCTTCATGAATAGAACGAGTGCATTCAAACCAAGATCATGAGATAATTTATTCACCAGAAGCCATAAACCCATAACTATTTCGCCAATCAAGTCCGTTGGAAGAAAGTCAAAGAAATTGTTGCACAACCGACATAACGCCTGCGTAAATGAGAGATACCACCGCAACTCCCGAGCAGTCAATCTATCTCATCATGGATCAATCGACTTCATGACGAACTCGAAACGTAGGTCCATGAATCGGACACCTTGACGGTGCGGAGAATTACATTTGCTAAGAAGGACCCTTTGATACTCAGCAGTCGCCGAAAGTGTTCTCGCCAGAGTATCTGAAGAGACGAAGTTAAAACATGTCGTAAGGGACGAAAGAGGGGGAGTAACGCACGTGATGTACAGGAAGCCATCCTCATCCTTATGTTCTTCATAGATACTGCTCATGAGCGCGGCGGTTGGTGGCAGGACCTCATCGACGAAGATGAAGATGGCCTTCTCGGGAGAGAGCTTGATGCGCTTGCGAATGACATAGACGAACTGGCCAACAGTAAGGTCCGCAGGCACTAGGTACTTTTTCTTGTCGATAGTAGCAATGTCCGACTTCTCAACTTTCTCGCAGATAACCTGTGGAAGAGGTTGCTTAATTAGTACCCGAACAAGCGGTGAGAGTGAATCTTGCTCCTGGAAGATGCAATATCTTCATAGCTTTCTCCCAAAATTTAGAGGCGATGAGCATACCGGAATACGATCAGCATACTTCTGGCGAATACGCTCAGCCTCTGCCTTGCGCTTCTCGAAGGGGTGCTCGTCCTTGAACTTCGACCGCATCTTGATAGATAAGGGCGGATAACGGATAAGGCGAGGTCGAAAGGTTGTTGAGATCGAAAGACCGTGATGAAATCAGAAGTTGGGTGAGATTATCTCACTGTTGAAGATGAATAGGAGACAGGGTTAAGATACGATGATGGAAGAGGTGAAGATGGAGGATGACGAAGGTGAGGGAGACTGATAGACCAGGTAGGATAGGTCAGCAGTAAGTAATAGCCAGCCAGAGGCGAGCTGGTAGGCAGACACAGTCACAAGTCACAAGATGACAAAACGAAGCACAGGATAGACCAACAAGCGCAAGCAGCCCCGCGTAATATATGGTATTATCAGTGTATGATACACCTGATAAGTGTCGACATGCAGATCACGGGGTGGTAGGCGGTCAAAGGAACCCCGCTCAGTGAGTCAGGTGCTTCTGATCATCCTGAATTTTTGCCATTGTATTTCTGGAATATCCTGTGATACTCAAGCTATTTAAGATAGAATAATAACTGCTAGTGAACCTTATGACTCGTTTTCTGCGGATGTGACCATCTTGACAAGCTCTAAGACGCCGTGTGACGATATGATCATTATCGGGACCTCATCCGGGAACTAGCTTGAGCTTCGGCCGCGTTGATCCGCGGCAAGTTGGCAGCTTAAAAGCAGTTGTTCCTGAACTCCCTTTCAAACACTCTGCAGCAAACAATATGATCATTTCCTTTGATTACATGTTTTGACTAATTACTGGCCAAGCAGATGAAGTAGCAGTTAAACTCTGTGGCTTTATACGATCAAGCTCAGGCAACAAGGCAGCTTTAATGTTGGGATGCAAACGACTCATAATTACTTTTCTCAGCTCACCGCCTTACTAATAGGAAGCAAACACGGCAATCAATGCAAATGGCACAAACTGCTTTGAAATTGGAGGCAACGGAATCAAGCGTTCTCCGAGTATCATGACAACCGGTGGTCCCATATCAACTGTTTCTGGAAGTAGATAGACTGCTTCTCTACTACGCGGTGGGCTGAGCCCCTCGGAACATTTTCGTCTCCCACAGAGCTCCGGTAGCTCCTGAAGCATCACCTGATCCTAGGATATCAGCCAATTGACTACCCACCTGCATATCTTCTTAAACCATGGCTTTGCCGCGATCATTTATGCCTCTTCGGAGGTCACTCTGCCAATTCTCATCTCGAACCTGTCGCAATCCCATTCGTACATTGCGAGGAGCGCATCGTTGTTATTCGTCCGAGCAAAAGCCTCGAGAGCCGCAACAGTTCACTGTGTGGAGGCCCTATCTTCGGCTGGCAATCGGTGTACCCTTCATAGGAGCCATAATATATTCAATGGTACGCGCAACGCTCTGTTGAGCACCCTTTTCAATAACATGGTCTAAATATGACTTGGCAGATGACCGGCGAAGTGACGGATCTCGACTCTCCGTCCATCGTGGAGCTCGATGAAACCCTAAAGAAACAGTCGACAATTGGCGAGAACTCGCCTATGCGTCTACGAATGGAGAAATTGATCAAAGAACATCAGCAGAAGATTGTGAATGAACTCAGTAGGATAGACGGGAAGATGTTCAAGACCGATACCTGGACACGTCCTAATGGCGGAGGCGGTATTTCATGTGTCTTGCAGGATGGAAATGTCTTTGAGAAGGCCGGTGTCAATGTTTCCATTGTCTACGGTGAATTACCTCGCCCTGCCATCGAGAAAATGCGAGCGGATCACAAGTCATTTGTCGGCGCGGACGTTGACTCTCTGAGTTTCTTTGCTGCTGGTCTCTCACTGGTTCTGCACCCCCACAACCCCATGGCTCCGACAGTGCACCTGAACTACAGATATTTCGAGACCTCAGATCCAAAGGATCCTATCCATGGAGAGAAAAACTGGTGGTTTGGCGGCGGCACAGATTTGACACCGTCATACCTCTTCCCTGAAGACGTCAAGCACTTCCATCAGACCATCAAGGACGCCTGTGATAGGCATGATGCGACATACTATCCCAAATTCAAAGCATGGTGTGACAAGTACTTCCACTTGCCTCATCGCGGCGAGGCTCGTGGTGTTGGCGGTATCTTCTTTGATGACCTTGACGCCAGTTTCCTTGAATCCTCTTCTACTTCTTCCCAGAACCCTCAAGAGACTATCTTCTCATTCGTTTCCGATGCTCTCGCATCATTCCTACCCTCCTACGTCCCCATTATCGAAAAGCGCAAGGACATGCCTTTCACTCCTGCCCAGAAGGAATGGCAACAGCTGCGGCGTGGCCGCTATGTCGAATTCAATCTTGTCTATGACCGCGGAACAAGCTTCGGTTTACGCACACCCAACGCTCGTGTCGAAAGTATCTTGATGAGCTTGCCTCGCACTGCATCATGGGCATATATGGACCCAGTATCCGGAACACGTACCGAGGATCCCATGTCAGAAGAGGAAGAACTTCTGACTCAAGATAAGGCAGCGGAAAAAGAGATGATGGAGGTTCTGAGACATCCCAGGCAATGGGTTTGATACGCTGAGTTGCAGTCTACTGACTCGCCCGGCATGATTCTGTACAAGATGTATACTTTTTGCTCTCTGTCTGTAATATACACCACACGGCTCAGGCGCTCGAATTATAAAGGTCACATGGCCGTGATCTCATTTGTTGAGATACGGCTCAGAGATATTAATATTTAACTGGGGACTGGGGTATCAAGCAATAGCATGTGCGCGTGTCTAACACTGTCTCTATATAGTCTTGGCTTAACAAAGGAAATAAGGAAAGTGACGGAATAAAAGAGCAAGCGAAAGACAATGAAGAAAACAAACTTCCTTAACTTACAAGACAAAGCGATCCTAGCGACCTGCTACCAGACTTCTTTGTCTCCCCAACCAGCCCTTCTGCAACTCGCTCATGTTGGCTCCGTTGCGGAATCTCGACACCGTGACATTATTGCTTTGTAAACGGCCTTGGAGATCGTACCAGGCAGAGCTGATAAGAGCCAATTCGCGTCCCTGGTTGTCGATGACCTTCTGAAGTTCGAGCTGGACGACAGATGAGCCTGTCAGTAGAGGAGGACGACAGGAGTGGAAGGCCAGTCGGCTTATTCCAATGTGTAGAACCGCGGCAAAAACAATAGAAAGAAAGGATGACGGCTTACCTCGCGCTCCTTGCTAATACCATCAACGGCATTGTCTTCTTCGAAATGCTTGATGCGCTCTTGCAGGAATTTAATGTGCTCATTTTGATGGTGGATGTACTAAATCATAGGTCGCATTAGTCAGCTTTGGGCGTAGAAATGCCAGAAATGCAGCGGCCAGGCCAGTTAGGAGCGCTTGAATCTCGACATAAAGCCTTTCAAGCGCGATGACTGTACATCTCGCTTGAGTGGCTTCGTAGGACTCTCCTTAATGGTATACTTTGCCTCGAAGTCAGGTACACGCCGTGGCTGAGCGCGCAACCCAGCATTTACAGCAGCGGTAAATGAACTCTTCGAAAAGCCTTTCCCAGAATGTGTAGATCCAGCGCCACTGGAAGGGACTGGAGGGAATCTACTGACCTCTGCGCGCTTCGCAAGCTTTTCAAGGTACTTCTCAATCAGCTCAGCGACTTCTTTGGCGAGCTCCGGACCAGATTTCTGAGAAGCATCTGCAGAATCACCGTTTTCCTGGGCCATTAATTCGGCCAGCAGCCTCTTCATCTCGTTGGACATTTCCTGATCCTCCGCGTGGATTTCAACTTGCTTTTTGTCGAATAAGCTGCGCAGCTCATCTCGTTCAGCACACACCTCGCGGACCAACTCTTGACTAGCGTCAAGCTCAGCCTCGAGCAAATGTAACCTATGCTGACACTCATCCCATTCAGCACGAAGTTTGGCGACTTCGGCTGAGTTGCTCTCCTTGACTTCGTGAATCATGTCTACTTTCTCCTTGCCGGCAAGTCCAACTGCAGCTTCATAAGCAGACTGTCGAAACGTTTTGTACCTAGAGTAGATGAGCAACTCACCCTCAGCCATGGCGTCTGTCAGAGCCCTCTTGGTAATTTCGAGAGAATCTTGAGCGTCGGCAAGTTTTCCAAGTGCTTGCGTGTAGTGCTCGTATAGTTTCCAATACTCGTCACTGAACGTTGCGTGAGTACGTGGTGAGAAGAGAGGTTCAATCACATACCCTTGTGACGAATTAGCCTGAGCGAGCCGATGAATCTGTGAGAAATTCTCCGAGAACCCCTCAGATTGGGAACCGATCTGGGATTCGTCGTCAGCATCGTCCGCAGCGAACTTTCCTAATTCTTCCTCGAGCCAACTTACAGAGGGCTGTTCCTTTAGTGACTCAACCTCCTTGCGCGACTCGTCATTTTCCGCTTTACTACTGTCGGTCAGCTCAGCCTCTTCAAAGATTGTCGAAAGGACTGACAGTTGCGATTCCTGGATACCTATGCCCTCAAAGTCTTCTTGCAATGTGCCTCGCTTTGGTGTTTCGGCGCCTGGAGTGAGCGATGGACTTCCGGGCGAGCCCTCAAGCTCGCGGATCCGTTCTCTCAGTTCACTAATCAGCGCATCATCTCTCTCGCGCTGTTCTTCGGCACTACTGAGGCGTTCCGTAAGAGCATGATTGTTGAATTCAAGCTGCTTTTTCAGGTTCTGAATCTCGCTGCATTCCTGCTCGATGCGTGGAAGGACTCTGCGATATTCCTCAAGTTCCACTTCACGCTCCGCTGACCATCTCTGGTGCGAGTCCGCGTCTTTTAGTTGCTGCTGGAGGTCCTTAATCTGGTTCTTCAGACTCTGGTTCTCTTTCTCAAAATCCTGACTGGCCTGCAGCTTTTGGCGGTATTTTTCCGCTGCATTGGCTTTTCGTGCAAGCTGGTCCCTGTCGGTCTTGAGCTCATCATAGTCATCTTGCAGTTTCTGGAAGCGCTGATTCTTGACATGTAGTGACTCCACCGTCATGCGCAAGCTGTCGATCTCATCCTGCGCTGCGGCGATTCGCTCCTCCTGCGATGCGATCAAATCCTCCTGCTGACGCGTCTTCGACTCCAATGCCTTTGCACTGACCCCGATGTCGCCTTTTCCGGACTTCAGCGTCACCAAGCGATCCTCCGTTGAAGCAAGGCGGCTCTGCAAAGTGTCATTGTTTTCCTGGAGGCGCGCTAGGCGGTTGTGTAGATCTTCCAGCGCTTTCTCCAACTCCTTCTTTTCATGCGTCAAGCGATCGTTCTCCGCAATCACCTTTCCCACTCGTTCTTCGAATTGTAGCTCGAGATCGACCGGAAGGTCCTGTTTCTTGGTGTCTTCGGTGGTTTCGTCCTCGACATCACTTGAGATCAATTCCCCGTTTGACTCCTCGATTGCGATCTTAAGCCCTTCCTGCGCCTGTAAGCTTAAATCCTGGATTTGGTTGACGAATCTCTCTGGGTTTGGCGAGCGTATGACGGCGATCAGGAGCAGTTTCAGGAGCTTGTTGGTTTCCTTCACCGAGTTCTTTTCCGCAATAGCTTGAAGATCAGGAGACGGATCCAAGCCGGAAGGCATATTGCCAGTTTGTATTCGTAGATAACCGGTCAGATGCTTGTGGACATGTTTCAAGTTGGCCAGTTTCGCAACCCAGTGATCGGACGTATTTCGCTCAGGTAATTCGTTGAGAAAGTACTGAGGGTCAATATCCTGCAGAATTTCCCAAAGTATCGTGCCATCGCTTAATTCCTCGGTAGATCTTAGCGTTTTACCGAGAGAGAAACTGTTAATCCATTCTAAAAGCGCTTGAGTAATCGTGTGTTCCGACGCCATGTTGGGACGGGAGGGGATACGTCGCGCCCTGGGAATCTTAGGAATGTGCAGGAGCTGAATGATGCTAGGGGTGGTGATAACTGTCGGCCGGGTTGCAGCGATAATTTCATCTCTCTAAAGGCAACGCAGGACTGGAGAATTGCTTAAATAGTTGTTAGATTCGGTTGTTGTCTCTCCTGAGCCTCGCGAGTTCCGGGAAGTTTCACGGCGGGCTCCACGCGCACCTCCTGCTCGGCCGGAGTCGAGAGATCGTCTTTATCTACTCTTACCATGTCGCAGAATCGGTACAGAATTATTTTGATGAACAAAGACTGTTGCCAATAATGTCTTTGTTTTCTGTCTCTTAAAATGTTTCCCTTTCTTTCATGAGAATGATACAAAACGATACAGATGGGAAATAAATCATCATGGATCACAATGTTAGAATACTGCTTATCAAAACGAAGAATGAGAGCAGATAGGATCAATTCATTATCCATATATTGCAAGGGCAGAATCAGTGAGAAGTGTTCCAAAAAAAATTAATCATAAGCAGCTTGGGGTTCTCAATCATTCAAGGCGATGACTGCCTCAGGGCAGCTGATATTAACTGCTTTTGCAATCTTTATCACCATAGGTCGAGACCACCTGATCTCCTTCGATAATTGGCTTATACTTGGTGGACTGTGTACTAAGACTCTGAATGGCAGCGTCTGGAGCTTCTGCAGAGAATCCCCTGATATGGCGTTAGACGCGATTTCCCGAAGATAAAGGTTAGGGAATGGGAGAAGTTACTTGATGAATTCTGGAGAAGAGATATATCAGTACTCAGAACAAGTCAAGTATGTTTCAATAACCGAATGGCAGCACTTACGGTACTCATGAGTGATTCTACCACCCTGGAGTGAAAAGTAGATCAGTATCATAAGCATAAGGAGCCCATAGCTTCAACAGGACAACATACGCCTTGTACGATGGAATTCTGCGCGTCCTTGATGACCGAGTCCGGGGTGTCCTGAGGGTAAGTGACCAGAATCGACTTGGCTAGAGCCAGAGGAAGAAATCCGATAATGAAGGCAGATGACAGTTTCATTTTTCTGCAAGTATGGTCCAGAGTGATACAACCACTTTCAAAAATCACTATGTCTTTATACACAAAGATGATCAGTATTCACGGTGATTTGTCTCGAAGATGATAGTCCGTAGGGATATCCGCCTCCTCTGAGAGTAGATAAGTATCGTTTGTATGACACAGTGGCACTGCGTCATGAGGAAGGTGACTAAGCCAGACAGACCGGTCAAAGACTTGGCGTCCGTCGGTCATTCTTCAACCTTCACTTCACTTCCCTCCTCCTCAACAATACCTCATAATAATCACAATCAACCTCCCTTCTTCCCCCATTCCCCTTTTGATTCCTTTTTGAGGATCCCTCTCCCAGCTTTCTCTTCGATACTACCTCCCGAATTCACCTCTGCCGTTGTGTTGGATCTCAAGGTGCTGCCGAAATTTACTCCAAGCGTGGAAAACAACCTCAGATTCCCTCACTATCATCTTCGTACCGTTTGCGTGCCTTTGCTGGTTAACAACCCTGGAAGGGTCAATCGGGCGAGATATTTACGAGGTAGTTTCTTATAGTGGGTATAGAAGGATAGTCGTGGGCTTCTGTGTGGTTTAGGTTGAGGACTGGCGCCTGCTTCGTCTCGTTGTTATCTCCAAAGTCTCGCCAAGATAGCTAGCAAGCATTTTACAAGTTTCGACTTTTCTTCCATCTCTTGCTCTTTCAGGAGATCGCAGTTCTGGAAAAACACCGGAGGAGAGAATAAGAAACCTATCTTCATAAGAAACCAACTTGAGAAACACAAGAGAAAAGAGACGGGAACAAAGAGGAAAAGAAAATACTGTGCAAAAAGGACCTCAACCAGAAAGAGAACATCACTACCTAAGAAGAAAAGAAAGGAAGCAGACAAGAAGGGGAAAAAAGAAAAAGAAAAAGAAACACTTAAGAAGGAGGGGAGAAAACATCCCAATATCCCTGATTGTTACTACATTCGCTTGACCATTTCCTTTGTTCCCTTTCTCCCTCGCCTTCATTCTCACCTTGCCCACGAACACCGTTGCTTTACAGCATACTTGCCCGTCATGTCGTCTGGGCTCGCCTCTGATGAGGTCGCTGAGGATTACAAGAACTCCCTGGAGGATCTAACCACGAACGACAGGTTCCAGATCAGCAACTTGACCGTCATAGCCAAAGAGAATACTGAACATGCTATGGCCATCTCCAGAGTATTGGAGAACCACATTCGAACAGTAGGTGTTATCTTGTTCTCACTCTCATGCATTTCTCCTTGACTTTTGTATCTCGCTCGGCACTCAGTTGATTGTAAGTTTGATCGGTTGAACTACTTCTAATCGTGTGCTGTAGACACCGCCAGCTCAGAAGCTTCCTGCCTTGTATGTAGTCGACTCCATTGTGAAGAATGTGGGAACTCCCTACACACTTTTCCTGGGTCGCAATATGTATCAGACTTTCTTGAATGCCTACACGTTGGTGGACTCGCAAACCCGCAGAAAGCTGGACGAAATGCTCAAGACATGGAAGGAACCTGTTCCGGGGTCACTAGATACAAGACCCGTCTTTCCTCCAGAAATTACACGCAGCATTGAAAGCGCTCTGATCAAGGCGAGAACCGCGGCTCTACAGCAGCAGCAGGCCAGGAGCCAGCAAGATATACTTAACCGCGGCCGCGTGGGCACTCCTCCTCATGGGTGGACGAGCAACACTACGCTCAACCAGAGTGCGGCTCGGCTCGCGCCTTCCACAAGTCAGAATGGGCATGCTCATCAGGTCCGAAATGGGCCCACGCAAAATTATCACGCGGCGGTAAGGCCCATGCTAGTCACAAAATAATTGTTGCGAATGCCATCATATCTAACGCATACACAGTTGGACCCTCGATCTACTCCAACCCCTCAACCTTCGCAGCGCTCGGAAGTGGATCTCGCGGCATTAAATCGCGACATCGAGGCATTGATTGCAGCTGCCCGAAGTGATTTCGCCAATAACCCTCTTGACCCTTCTGTGCAACAGCGTCTTAAAGCTCTATTAGATTTGCAAGGCATCCTCCAGCGTCAAGAGCTCACTCAGGAGCAGCTGAAGCTGGTCCGTGACCAGGTCTCTGCACTCACTCCAAAGTCCGCTCTTTCAGTTCCCCAAAGCGTTCCGCCAACCATTCCAGCTATGCCAACACCCAGCATGGCCACCCCCCCAGTTCAGACCCTTTCACAGCCTCTTCAGCAGCTCCTCAACCCGGGAACATTAGCTGAGCTTATCAAAGCAACTGCTGCACGCCAGCAACCCACCCCACCACCCCAAATCCACAACATTCTACCGCAGATGCCAGTAGCTAGCAGCACACCACAACCGGCGACCATGCCGGCAACCGAGAACCCGTTAATTTCAGCTCTACGAGCGCGTGGCCTCTTGCCTCCCGCTTCCGCACCTCCTGCCCCTACCACTGCTCCACCGTCCAATCTTACCTCTGCCTTTCCCTTTATTGTACCTGGTCAGGTGCGATTCTCAACTCCAGGGCCTACTATGCCTCAGGTTCCTAATCCCTCGAGTATTACTATCAACGTGCAAATGAATACGGCATCCATTAAAATGTAAGTTTACACGAAGTTTGCACTTGTAAAATGTTCGCTGCTGTTTCATATGCTAATAGGATGCAGACCGCGAGAGGGACTAATAGCCAGTCTCTACGAAGCGAGATCTAACCGTTGTGGGACATGTGGCCGTCGATTCTTTGCAACAGAAGAAGGAAAAGAAAAGAAAGCTCGCCATCTGGACTGGCACTTTCGGACCAACCAACGGATGGCGGACGCTGCCAAGCGAGCGCAGAACCGCAGCTGGTACGTTGACGAACGGGTGAGTGGATTTCTCTCTGTCCAAATTCATATCCTAGAGATTTTTCTTAACAACCGGGCAGGATTGGATAAAATCCCGCGAAGCCGGAGACGATGAGGATCCTGCAGAGGCAGAAGCTACAAGTGCCGCTGCTGCAGGTGCCGAGAGTGATTCGGCCAAGAAAGGCCCGCCCAAGCAATGGATCCGGGCTCCCAATGATGCTACATTGCGCAACACGCCCTGTCCCATTTGTCAGGAGACGTTTGAGTCGACATGGTCGGAGGAAGTCCAGGACTGGATATGGCAGGATGCCGTCAAGGTTGGGAACCGGATATATCACGCAAGCTGCTATGCGGAAGTTACAAAGGACGGGACGACTACGGCTGCAGGGCGGGGTACGCCTTCGGCACGGACTGGAACACCGGATTCCGTGTTGGGCAAGAGGAAGGCAGAGGTATGTTCGATTCACCATGGCAGAAAGCTCGCACGTTTCAAACTAATTCGACGTACAGGGGACCGACTCTCCCGGGTCAAATGTCCGAGTCAAGATGGAGCCTGTGTGACGAAAGTGGTACTTCCTCTCTTTCATTGAACTTCGGTACCCCGGTCCTTGCTTTCTGCTTTGGGGACTGGGGGCGACATGCATGCGTTGGAGTTGACATTATCGTATCTGCTTGGTAATTGCATTTAGCCGGCGGCTGTACTGCATTCCGAGACCCCGCACTATTTTGAGAAGTTTGGGGGATTTTTGACTATCTACGAGCATTGCCGTACATGTATTCCATACAATTCTCCATAGAACATTCTATAAACCAGTAGCTAATCCAAGAAAGGCACTGATTCTTGTACCCCACAGTTTATTTTCCTCTTTGTAATCCTGGATGAGGCAGCTGGATTATGATTGCGGTTGGACCTGCCCCGCTCTATGGGGAGGACCCTCTATTATTATTGATAATCATAGTTGGAGTAGATGTTCTTATAAATACAAGTCCTGCTCCCAAGTCTCTGTCTCAGTTTGACGCCATCTTTCTCTGCTGTATAGTTCCACTGCCTGTTGTCCATCCTCCGACGTCACCATGGCTCCGTACAATGTCCGGTGGGGCATTATGGGTATGC